AATAGAGAAACGCCCGCTGTGCGTCCGCGAGAGGCAGATATTAAAATATCGTGCGACTCGCTCGCGCGGATCTCACCATGTTGCCGGCGAGACCTTACTCGGATTTTTTAGAGCTCTCGAACACGCGTAAACGGACTACCCAATGACGCAGAATGCAAACATGAGTGTGCCACACGAATGTAAAATATCAGGTACAAAAATATCTAAGCCATTCTATTCACTGACGTCCAGCTTTTCAATTTATCGTCCTCCTATCCCTTTTATCCTAACAACACGTTCTTACGCGCCTCGGCTTCAGTCATTATTCATACGAATACGCACGCGCGGTTAATGGTGGTTTTGTAATTAAAACGTGGACCACGTTGGTACACTATTTTACCTCCCGACCGCGAGCAATAATCGGAAAAGCGCGTAATTTCCAGACCTGCCATCGGCGATACATCGCGGAGCACGCGCGTATTCCGCGGAACGGGCAAGTGGCCGGTATATTTTCGAACGATTTCGTCATCGACTTCAGAAATGTCTCCCGAAAACGTAATCGAGAACGCATCAAATCGAATCTATTGAGAAAGGAAGTGGCAGCCGGTTATTTTTTGTATACGGATCCTTATCTCAATGATTAACTACACGGAGATATCGAATCGATCGTTCGACACACCGCACGCACACACACGCACAAAGGAGGTATTATACTGTGCAATCACAGCGGTTCTTATCATCAAATTGTAAACAAAGGACACACGATATTCATAGATCGACCGGATAACGGCCTGTATCGAATGTGAGATATCGATAACCCGAGTTTTATTATTCATCGCCGTCGGAGGCGTGTGGATAGACAGTATTAAATATTTGTGGCCGTTATCGCGCACGAATTGCAACTTTTCTCAGCGGAAATAAAAATAAGAGAGCGCGGTTCTCGCAACGAACTCGATGCAGGGTTTGAGAGAAGGATTCCTCCTGATTGCAAATTCGCAATCAAACTTTGTCGGCGCGTGAAAGTAAGACTGCGACGAGTACGACTCCAAAAAGACCACGAAGGAAAATTTCGTTGCCGTTTGAAAGGAACTCTGGTTCGGCACTTTAATCAGGAGAACGTCGATGCACGTCTGCATTCGACATGAACCCGGCGCGCGAAAGATCGCGATGCGACCTTTCATAAGCAACGTATACACACACATGTATATGCGTATATAACTTATTTATGCATGTTTGTACAGTACGAATAATATGTTCCCTGATAGTAAATAATTTCAAAATTTCGTACTTTTCCAACGCAAATATTCGGCGTATGAAAAATGTCAAATCAAAGATACACGCTGTAATAAACGTGTTGATACACATAAAAATAGTTCTCTGAAACGCAGCACCATGTGCTTTCTAAGCTGACTACGCGCGTGTCATTTGTCAAAAACGTCCGGTGATTAATTTTTCACGGATCAACCGCGACACTAAATTTTTCTTCCTCGATTAGCATCGGGGATATCGATGATAACCGTGTCTACTATCGATATCTTTCAGGAAGGTAATATCAGAAGCGATATCGATGCACGTGGTGTAGCGAATAAGTATCGACAGCCCGTTACATTGACGCGTCCCTACATATATAGCCACCACGTCTCGTTGCTCGCCCGTCACGAGATAACGAGTTATCCGATTAAATTTATGTAACGGTGCATTACGCCGCGGCGTTGCCGCGAAATTATTTTCGATAACCCACCGCGATAACGTCGCAACGCGCGCGCACACCGACTGTCGCGCCCGGCATTTTTCCCTTCGCGTTCGTTAGCGACCGGTCACGCTCCGATGGGAAAGATCGCCGCCGAGAAAGAGATTCATCGCGCGATTTTACCCGAAATTACTGACGCGATTCCGAGGGAGATTACGCGATGGTTTCCTTTTTCTTCACCTGGCGGGTCCGCGCGCGAAAGTGCGAGAGAGCGATCCGGGAAATTAGACGCGGCGGCGCGATGAATCTACGAATTAACTGGCGCGCGCGTTATCGTCGCGACGAGATTGAACGGGGATTAAAAAATAAATTGCCGTAATCGGAACGCCGCTGTCTGGAAAACGATCTCTTACCGCTGGACGAGATCGGTCAGAGAGAGAGAGAGAGAGAGATGCGCGTTCAAGCGCGTCTTTAATCCTAAACTTGGCAAGCGTACATTTTCTGTGAGATACGTCTCTGTTCTGCACTGTCTGAACTTTCGTGTCTTCATGTTTCCAAAATTGACATCTTAAGGATTCTCACGTATATATTCGTATTACCACAACTATTCTACGCTTTGCGTGCAATGTGTCTCTTACTTTTTTTTTTAAACTCATATCTCAGAAAGACAAGGATAAAAGTTATTACTTTACGCGAATTGGTAAACGTGACTTGTATTTTCTTTACATTGTTCTGTTTGGCGTATTTTCGATTTTACTAAACCGCATTTAGCGATAGATTTAAAAGTGAAGCGGTGCTTACCGCCGAAGATTTTCGACGGAGTTCAAGTGGCGGCGAAGCCGCAATGGATTTATATTCTAGGTGCTCGGTCAGGTATGCGCCGAGAGCGCGAGGAAGACGCGTAAACAATAGCGTGACGATCGCGCGCAGCTGTTCGCGGGTGAGCGTGTCTCGTTCCGCGAGCGCGACGGCGGCGAAATAGCGTCTCTCGCGATGTAGTACGTTGGTTAGCTAGAGGCAAGACAAAAAACCGGCCGCAGCCGAGCACAGCTCGCGTTCACGAAGAGCACTCTCTTCGTATTCGCGCCGGCAGACGGAGCGAAGAAGAGTGAGAGACACAGAAAGAGAAAGAAACAGACAGAGAGAAAGAGAGAGAGAGAGAGAGCCGGAGAGCTCGCACTCACGCACGCACGCAGCCACACACATACACAGGGACACGATAAAAAGAGAAACTCACTCCAGAAATAATGCACAGTATCCATCCAAGCCGCGGTGGCGAAGGTGGGACGTTGCTTCCTCCGGGATTATCGAAGCGCGTTAGCGAGCGTACAAACAAAACGACACCGCGTTCGCGTTCTCTAAGTCCGCGCGACGACGCAGCTGCCCGCCGCTCTCCTCCTCCACCTCCTCCACCTCCTCGTCGTCGCCGTCGTCGGCGTGGTCCGCGACGACGACAACACCACAACTAACACACCCTCTTCCTCGTCGCCGCGACGGAGACGCGACAATGTCCCCGAGACTCCTCTCTCGCGTCTCCACGAAACTGCTGTCGTCGCGTAGCCGTGCACGAAGATCTCACAGAGAGAACCGGGATCTTCCGATTTTAATTCTCACACTCCGCGACACTCCACCGGCCGCCTCCCGACGAGAAAGTCCTATCTCGACGCCTGCCGCGTGCATCACCCCGCGCGACGACGCACGCTTTTCCCGCGTTCGGTCAAACAGTCAGACGGAAGTGCGTACGGACGGACGACAAGAGGAGAACACAAGACGCGTGGAGGAGCGACAACATATACACGCTGCGAACGAACGATTGATGACGGAGACACAAAGATGTACACTTCGCCTCGCTCTCGTTCGGAGCAGAGATAATTCCGGAACTCTCTCTCTCTCCCACCCTCTCTTCCTCTTTCTTTCGGTGTCCGGTTTTTCAAGCTCACGCGTTGCGACGAGCACGACACGATGCGTCGCGTGCGTTCGCGCGCGCCGACACTTTTCAAAACAATATACAACCACACCAACCAGCGCACATCTCACCCCGTGTGCTCGCTTTAAGCGCTTTCTCGCGCCACCGCGCGCGCCACTCCGCGGCTACCCTATTCGTCTCTCCCTACCACCACCCCCCCCTCCTCGATATCTCTCTTCTATCTACCTATCTGTCGGTCTATCTCTCTCCCTCTGTTCCTACCGTCCTCTCTCTCTCTCACATACACACACACATACTCACTCACTCTCTCTCTTTGGCTCCCAACCAACGCGGTTTTTCCGCACGCACACGCCGCCGCGGATCAATAATTCACCATACGAATTCACCAGAAGCGGGCGAGCGGCGAGCGACGACGCGAGTCAGAGTGCGACACACGGTGAGCGAGCGATCAGACGAACGAACGAACGAACGAACGGACGGACAAACGTACCTACGTACGAGCGAACTGGCGGACGGTCGACTAGGCGGTGAGCACGCGTTTCTGTCAACGGCGCCCCGCGCCCCGGCAGCGAGGAAACGCGCACGCAGCTTACCACACCACCGCACACACCAGCGACGAAGCGATGGTCGTGCGAGGGAGAGAGAGAGAAAGGCCGCCCTAACCTCCACGGCGAGCCGCGTCGCGCCGAATCCGCTGGTGCGCGCGATACGTGGAGAATCGCGCGCCGCGCTCGTAAACCCGGCTGACACACAGCTGACACGGCGACGCGCGCTCGTAAACAGCTCTTTCTACCGAGAACCGCACCGGCAGCAGCCACTTCTCTCGTTTTCGGTCGCATCGATGGCTCGTGGATAGTGACGTCTCTTTGCTTCCTCTCCCATTATGCTTTCACCCTTCTACCTAAAGGTACATGCTAATCTCTTTCTCTCTTCGTCCTCGAACGAACTTTCTCGCACCTTTTTTCGCAGCAGGTAAACCTAACCGGTAGCGCGCGCGCGCCCTCCACCGGAAGTACGGCTTTGACAAGTGCGTCCGAACGCGCGACGGTCGGTTTGGCGGATAATAACGGCGTCGCGCATTCACTCGCTCGTACACGTCCACTCTCTCTCACGCAGGGAACACACACGCTGCTGCCCGGCCTCTGTCTCTGTCTCTCACCTTTCCGTCTGACGCATGGCGTCCCTCGCTCCCTCTGTCTCGCTCTTTTTCGTTCGTCGGTCTTATCCGTCCGTCGGTCCGTCCGTGTTTCTCTCTCTCTCCGCGGGTAATATCGCTGCTGTCGTACCCGTTTCGTGCGCGGCCCCCGGTGCGGGACGACGACGCCGCGCCGTCGAGACACACACGGGCGTGGACGCGCTCTTTCGCGAACGGCGTTTCACCACTGTTTTGTATCGTGTACTTACCACTGGGCGAGCTGTGTGACGTGGCGGCACGCGCGCGAACGCGGGGGCGGCCTTTATTTTCGCGAGCGAAATTCACACGGTGTTATATTAGCGCACAGGACTGCACCCCGGTAAATACGAGCACGGTCACCACTCTTGTTTTTGGTATGCCAGGAATGGCACAAAGAATCTGGACAACGCACACGCCTGCTGCGCAGCCGGTCTGCGCACACGCTGACACCGCTTAGGCGGCCGCGGGAGAAACCAGAATCCGATCGCGGCCGACGATGGCCGAAGCGACGCGAAGCCGACCGACCGTCCAATCCTCACGGAACAAATCCCCACCTTGCGTCCCCGAATGAACCCCGCACCCCGCGTACAAGGTGGATCAGTCGTGTCACGCACGCAATAGAGGCTGGATGTTGGTTCGCTCGCTCGCTCGTTGCTCGCTCGTTCACTCATTCACTCACTCGCGCGTTCGCTCGACCGTTCGCTCTCTCGCTCGGGATTCGGGAAGCACTTGTTGAATTTCAAGGGTTGCATTTTAGGCTTTGCAAATGAGAACGTTAATAAATGAGAACATAACGCATCATCGCGCGGCTCCGAGAGGAAGCCGTACTGGTCAATTAACGCATTTCTCCCGAGTGACGGATGCGTGGACGAGTTAAAATGCACTTTCGGTGCATAACGCGGGAAAATATGGAGAATGTTCTCCTCATTTTGTCATTCAGTAGTGATGCAAATTGTTTCAACATATTAGGAAGATATTTAAATATATTTTTCGATGCATTCGGCCGATAGTCCAGCGATGTTGTTTATATATTAAATTCTCGATTGCTGATTTATAATTCGTAAATTTTCAATCTGCTTCTAATAATAATGTCGAGTTTTAAAAAAACTACTCGCTGAATACGCATTCGAAGAGACTCTGATTTTCTCAGAACAGATTCGCATAAAAACATCTTACGTCAGGAAAGTATAATAGATTCGCTTTTAAATATGCGGATAAACGATTACGTCAGCTACGCGAAGCAATCCGTTTGTCGAAATAACCAATACACGTGCTTAGGAACATAACGTTTCGGATAAGGCGCAAGGTGGAATCCTCTTGTATACCTAATGGATTCGAGGGACTATCGGCTGGTTGCCTGTAAGCACAAAGGAAACTGACCCGACGCAAGTGCATCGGCTTAAAAGTCCGCTGGCGTTTTCCCGGTTGAACGATCTCTGACCGACCTTTTACGTCTCTATTCAACTTTTTCGACCTTGAGTTTGGAACTTTAAATTATGGTGTCACGTCCTGAGTTGTCGGAAAGATTAAGAATAGAATCTCCAGCAAATAATAGAACGTGCTACAGGTTACATCAAGGATTTTGCACAGATCTGTTCCGAATTGGGATACTTGATTTATTGCTGTTCTTTCTTAATTTACTTATTGATTATGAGATGCAAGACGTGATATTAATTTTTATGCATCTGCGCAACGAGAAGCAGATAAATAGGTAGAAAGATTTTACCTATTTCACTTCTGTGCATCTTTATTAATAAAATCTCTTCCTTTGCTTTATTCGCGTATTTTCATGAAGAGACCACTCCTGTGTAATTCCTATTTTATACCGGTACGAAATGTGATCCAATAACTGACGCGAACAGCATTTCAAAAATACTGCACGACAGTACATCGCGGTGTTCCGAAAAAGAGAGGAAAAAATACAGCGTGAGGATTAATAACGGACGATGTCAAACAAGCGCGCTCTCCCGCGAACCAAAATACAGCATACGAAAATAATGCCCGGAGCTGTTAACTTTTGCGACTCGCACAAAGCCCGCCGTAATTAATGCCTTTAAACGTTTGCCGCGCAATGAGCTCCTTTTGTCGGTCGGCTGCATTGTGCCGCACAAAAGTTTACAAACGGGCCAGCACGACGTGGCAAAGCGTGACACGAAGGGACGGGACGCGTCGCGACGCGCTGCGCCGCTAGAGTTGAAACGGGGTTTTCAACGTGGCGTTGTGCGTTGAATGGAAACGGCGGCAAGCACCCACCCCGATTTCGTCCAACGCGCTTTAATTACTTAATTACGTTAACGCCCGATTTCCGCCGCTCGAACTTCGGCACGCGGCCCGCCGTGGAAACGAGTCGCTCGTTTAGGCGCGACTTTCCGCCTCGCACCCTTGAGAGCGGATGTAACGCAATCGCGAAGCACCGCGAGGTTTTCCTAGATACCGTATTTCAAGCGCGATAAACGCTAAACTTGCTTCGCGTTTATCAGAATGGAAAAATTTGACGCGACTACATTCTCATTTTAAACTTGTAACACACAGTAAAACATTTTGTGTTAAATTTAACACATTTCACATGTCCCAAACGCAAAGTGAGTAGGTTGAAAAGTAACACAAATATTACGTAAAAAATTAACACAAAAAATTAATGTCCATAATATGTTGATCGACATTGAAATATAAAATGTATTATTTTAACACCGGCAGTATTTTAATACTTACACATGTTCAATATCGACTCAATACATGTATATTGATATAACATAACGTGTTAAATTAATACATTGGTATGTGAAAAATTTAACACACAAATTTGAACAAGGACTGATTTTAACATTAATACAAAATGTTTTTTTACTGTGTACATTACATTTAAAGACTTTCATCACATCCGTTTTGGCCGACGGATTTCAAAGAGCTCGACGAACAGATTTACGCAATTGTCGGTTACTTTAATCATAAGTCCACGCAACATCATCCCACGACGAAAGTGATTTATTTCGATATACGCGGGACTCCCGTTACCCGCCGATCGATTCACTCGACCTCTAAGAGCTTCCTTTATTCCGGCGAGCAACTACCTCTGCTGACGTAACCTGAATTTGCGGTATCGGAAGCACACGTAGTCGCACGTGTCGTTGGTACGATAAAAGGCGAGTTATACTCCGGTATCCGCAGCCGCGTTCTTTTCTCCCTTTGTCACGAAGCTCCGAGATCGCGTCGCGGCAACTAGATAATAATAGAAATTCCGCCAAACACTTAATTCCCGAACGCCACGGCGCGTCGCGCGTTTCCCTAACGGTAATCGGAGGAGGAGCGCGAAGGCGCGGGAGCTTTAATAGCTGGGAAAAGAACGGTCGAGGGAGAGAATGCGCTGAGAGGAGCTTATCTTATTTTAATGCGCGGGAGCCGCGGAGTCCCTTCTCCCGTTCGCGATGAAATTGACAATTATCCCGCTCTTTATGCCCTGCCACTTATTCGAGCTATCTCGACCCGGGTGCACACGGCGAGACCGGTATGCCGCGGACCCTATTTAACGTCGATAGTCGCAAAGTCGTAAAACTACCGCCGCGCGGCTGCCGTGCTGGTTCGCGTGACGATGCCGACGATAACTAATTGCGAAAGAGCTGGAACAATGACGACCGCCGCCCGGCCCCGAGAAAAACCTGACTTTCCGTCGTTCCCGCCGCGGAATCGGGAAACCGTTACGCCGCCGGGAAATCGCTATCCGCGAATATTTGAACAAAAAAGAAAAGAGAGAAATATTTATATATGTATGTACACTTTCAGCCTTTCTATCTACCAGTCATGAAAAAAATAGCGTCGAGCGCGCGCGCGATTTCGCGTTATGCAACGATGCACTTTACATTCGGTCGTGTGACTGCTGACTTTACCTGGAGGTTGACTTGTAGATAAGTTCATCGACACAACGCGTCGACGCTCCGCACCTGACTCGTGCAAGAAATCTGCAGCGTCGTCGAGTTGGCATCACGAGTGTCCTTCCGCGCGAGCCCGATGTATATGACTGCAAAAAAGAAAAGAGCACAGGTGGATTAAAACGAAGCATTAGGGATTTGGTTTGCGAAGTTACGTGCTTGTGATCTTCGAGAGACTACCTCATATATTCTAATTGATCTCTCTTCTATATCATTCTATTTTTACTTGGCCAATTTTATGTTCATAAGAGAAGGGCAATTTGAGATAAAATGAAAATAAATTTTTCGCTCAGAAGCATGTTTTGCTACTCTTCGTCTCATATGCAGTTGCATATGTGATAAATTTAATGCGTCGAGCACAGAAAAAAAAAGATAGAAGAAAATCGGAGGTCTCCAAAACAATTCTAGATTTTAGCGATTAGAAAGCATACACAAGTTTTCGCGAAAATTTTAGTTTGTTGTAACCTGTCTACAGAGATTTTTTCAGAGATCCGAAAACAACCGCAAGAAAACGTTGAGGAAAAATCGTTTGCTTATGCGACGAACGATGTGCGGAGAGGATTAGGAGAAAGTCATGGTATCTAGTCTTGTCATATCACACAGTCGCAATTTGGAGCGGCCGTCGACACGGTGTCATCTCGCGCAAGATACATCCATTGTACGCGTATTGTTTGGAGTTGCATCGCCTGATACGGAGGATAGCTAATCCTAATCCGCGTCTAAATTCGTGACGTCACAACAATACTCAGGTTGGACATTGTATTAGTCGAGGCAAGCCCAAACACACAGAATAATTATGGTCCAAATCATAAGCATACATAAGATATATACTTATTCTCTATAAAATAACAGAAAGCCACGACATTGCGACCTATCATTCGCAATTTAATCAATTGTTTGTATTAATTACATAACTTTATTCAGCTGCAGGTAGATTACGTGCGAGATTTGTACTAAATTTCAAGGGAAACACAAGCATAGTTGTAAATTATTTGCGATCCTTTTGAGAATATAGTTAATTATATATATAGTTAAATTATAGATTTAATTATAAATTTATTTTCACACATACATGCATGAACTTTGTTATTTGATTGTTATTCTGTTTGGACCAATATTTTTTGATGTGCAAAATATGTATAAAATAAATACAAATTGACAAATAATCAGAGATTTATAAGCTTCGATTATCTATCAGATTATAGCGGATTAAAATACCGACCTAAATTTTGAGCGTCTCCTTGTTATTGATAACTTCGCTAAATGTCTGTTAAAATCGGAGATCTGTACAATAAATGATTTTACACACATGTCAATGTACGATATATCCGGCTATTCTAGACACTATCACTGACACTCGCGCAGATAACGATTCGATTAAAGTCATACGTGTTAAATAACGCGATTCCGAAGAGCTAGTGAAATATTTTATTCACACGACGTGAACGCGATAATCAACGACGCACGTACACCACATGTGTATCGCTCGCCAGCCCGTAATAACATAATAGAAATACTCAGAAAAGCGTGCGACTGTAAGTTTGACCTTCTTGAAAGTCTCGAATGTTTAAGATTGTTGTTATTATTTACTGGGTCGCTCAGTGCCGACCGGCGGTGGCAACGAGTAAGATAATGTAATCTTTTTTTGCCTATTTTGATATTCTCGCGTGTCGTGTATTTTTTTCTATAACTGAATATTTTTTGACAGCCACACGAGTAATGACATGTATCAAAATGTATTAGTTATGAAATTCCTATTAAGTAATCGAAATATTTCGTTGGCTCTAAGAATATTTTATCAAGTCCTCGTTGGTATCACGTTAATTAATGCGTATTTCTACATTGAATCGTCGTATTTACGCGAATGTCAGTGCCACAAAGAAGTCAGGAACAAGATGCTGGATCGGAAAGTCAAAACGGAGGACGCAGGATACCGAGACACGGATAGTGATACGTCATATATGTTCAGGTGTGTAAAATAATAATTTCAACTTATAGGATTATTCTGAAAATTAAATCTGGAAGTAACGCTATATAAAATCGCCTTGTGTCATTGGTGCGAGCTCTCGACGGGAAAATTTCTCGTCGCATTTTTCGATGATATTTTAGCGACGACGCGATTTTATTGTCAGTTTTGCAACGTGGCGCGCCTTTCCTTTATCGGCATTGCTTTTATTTAAAAAACGAAATAAAAAAGAAAAAGAGAGTGGGAGACTTCGCGTCGCCCTCATAAACTTCGAAAACATTTCTTATAAACGGTGGATGTTCTGCGGGGGTGAGATTCCTGGCGGGTCTTATCATGGCAGAGATTTACTCGCAAGGACCGTGAGGTATAAAGTATTAAAATATCACGCGAATGGCGCATTCGGAAATTCCTGCTGCACCTAAAAGCAGGGACGCTCTCGCAATATGAGGATCTTCTCCTTCAGACGGAATCGCCTCGCGGTAAGCGACTTTTTAAATTATTCGTGTCTTTACTCGGAGACTTTTAGCATATACCAATTTTTACTTTCTCTTATTATTTTCCTTGGTAAACGTCATTTTACCATTTTATTTTTACTCAACGCGAATACATAAGATTAATTATTTAACTGCGAAAAAAAAAATTAATGTCGCGAAAACGTCAAGGGTCAGTTTCTATGATATCAAACGTTAAGAACTAATAGAGAAGGGGTGTTAATAGAAGTCAACATTGAGCCTCTCCGATATCTCACTCCGCTTCCTCGTACGGCCGGAAATTTCACGCGGGGACGCAATACGAGAAGCGAAGTTCGAGAACGCGGCAAGGATGCCTAACGTCGCCCTTATTGTATCCGATCCTGTGCAAACGAGGACAAAGCGGCGACGGAAGAAGACGCAGGGGATGCGACGAGGTGCGGAGGGCAGGCGTGGGTGCGGAAGGGTCGAAGGGGGCGAGAAGCGGCAGGAAGCTGCGGAAGGAGGGCGAGGAGAGGCGCGGCGCGTACCTCACCTGGCATACCGGGAGAGTATCGCGACACATTTTGATCGAATTCTTCTCGAGGTCGGAGAATGCCGGTATCTCCCGTAGATATTATTACATATTTAGGCGGTACGTGGCGAGCAAGATCTCTCTCTCGCTCTCTTGCTATCTATATCTCTGTTTGTCTCCCCCTCTCTCTCCTCTTCTCGCCTCGGAGAGATAATACACTTAGAGACGTATTCTCTCTCCTCTCTTCCCGACGCTGCGCGGCGCGGCGCCGCGGGGCGTACATATCTGGCTCACTATACTTGCGCCACGCTGTATCCTCATAGCTCTCTCTCTCCTCTCAGACCTCGAAGGATCGCAGTTCTGCGCGATATCCTGCATATCTCGGCATACCGTCCCCGTCGTTTCCGACATTGTTCCCTCGGCCCGCCCCCTCGGCCCCGACCCGGACGCGGAATAATCCCACTCGTTCGACGTCTACCGGGCCCGGCTTCCCGGCCGGATTCCAGTCGATTCTGGTACCGAGCTTGTGCAGGGTGAGAAGCCCCGGCATCGGGCATGATAATTGGATGCTTTTCCGCTTGCCCACCCCTTTCTCCTTCAACTCCATCACATCGTCGTTTTCGAAAAAGCGCGAGGAAAGAAACGGAGGGACTGTGTTGATGAAGCCCTTGAAAAAAGCACGTCACGCGGGTACAAGCTTGTTGTGGGAAAATGAACGATGTAGCAGACGTGGGATTTGTATCGTATAGTAAGCCTAACAGGACGCGGATGTACAGAGGTCGAAAAAACTTTGTCTCGCGTTAGAAGAAATCTTCATCACTTCGTCGAATTCTAGTTTTTAGCTTATGGTTTCTTTTTCGGCTATCAATTGCAGAGTAATATATTTATCGCTTTTCGAGTAATCCTCATACAAAATAAATAACAGTCGTCAATATTTCAATAATTTTAGAATAAAAAACAAGTATAATACTCGTACGAGAAATTTGGACTTTTCGCAATTAAAACATTTTCTGATAATTCTCTTTTTTTCTTTCTGTGTATCAAACGCGAAGCCTTTTGAGGCATACAATTTTGTAAAAATCGTGTGCTTCGTGCAACTATTGGGAAATCCCTATACTATATAGCGCGATAAACAGCAACTCTCGTAACATATTTCCTTCGCGTTACCGCGACGGGCGACGCGTCTACGTCGATCACGCGCGTTCACGTCGATAGTTCGGTAACATCGAAATGCGTTTGTTGAATATTCAATGTCCAGTATCCGACCCCGACGAACACGATGGCCATAAGCACTGGATTCTATTAGCAAACAGTCATGAGAACAATGGTGCGTCGATGCGATTCCGTCGATATTACAAGCGGCGAGTCGATGATCGAGCCGATAAATGCCGGCCACCTTCCTTCGGCACATTTCACGGCGAACGTCCGCGCAGGATACTATTCGCATGTCTAAATCCGTAGAACGTTCCTGTCTGTACAATTCCCAGGATTGTTACCGGTCCGAGGGACCACTTGCCGCTACACTCTCTTCGTGTACAATCGGCTGCCTTAATTCGCAAAACGCTGTCTCGCATCGTCGCGCGTGAGTAAACGACGTCAAAATTCGAAACATTCGAAACGTCTCGGGACGCTTTAACCCCCCATCCGATCATACTGGGATTAAAATCGACTCGACGAGTATTTCGAGAAATTTGGAAGATATGTGCACGAATTCTCTTCAACCATCATCACACTTCTTAAAATTCCGCGATTTTGCTAATTGGTTTAAATTGTTTACCCTAAAATATTCCTTTTTCCTGAAAAACATAAATTACAAAACGCAGATTTTAGAATTTAAAAATAAATAGTGCAGAGGCTGTTAATAAGAACAGACTTTTAAAATTTAAAAATTCGCGCGATAGGTGCTCCGAAGTGTCGCAAATACGAAAAATGCACGCCGAAAACACATCCGATATCGACCAAGACTTTTTCAATGCGTTGGCGTTGCTGCACTCGACTGCGGAGAACAGTACCGAGAAGCTTCGTCGGTTACTGGACACTTGTATTGAGAAAAAGTACGGCCGCGGAAAGACTCTGGCTGCCAGAATGCCAAAGGGATTTTTGCAGAACGTCGAACTACGCGACAATGCAACTCCTGCGACGCGAACCTCGAGGAAACGCGAATACATGCAAGGACGCACGATGAAACGCAAATTTGTGGACGGTTCCGAAACTGTTCCTTTCCTCGAAGTCGACGTAGCGGAGAACAACGTGAATTGTCGAGCAGTTGATGTAAAAGTATTCGAGGTCGCTTATGAGGAGTGTAGCAACGACGAGGACGTTCCTAGGATCTCGATCCCCGACGAAGGATTATCCGCTGACGGGACTGTGTGCAAGGTTTTCCTAGATTAAAGTTCAACTGGCTCGTAATTCGCGTTCGTGACTTTTGATTTATATGTGCAAGATCGCGTTCAACAATCGTTGTCGAGTTACCGCATGATTAATGAATTAACAAATTATAACGGTTATGGCGTACGTGAAATCGAAGATATGTAACGGAGTGAAACTGGGTGCCCTGATTTTGCTGGAGTGTCAAGAGTGTCAAGAGGCTTATCATCCGTTATGTCATCAACCTCCGATCGTTGATGTCGATGTTTATGATCCAAGATTTATATGGCGATGCAGACGATGCATGGAAACATCGTCGTCGTCGTTGTTGTCAGCAACTTCCTCGAAAGTTAAAACTACTGAAAATAGTTCCATAGGTAAAGCACGACAAACTGACAGCGTGATCAAGAAAAAAGAGAATATACAAGGATCGAAGATGCTCGAGAAAAAACGCGTTTCTCCCGAGAAAAATGGTACGTAGTACAATCGATACGAATATGTTGCGTAAGAATGATGTGCGTGTTGCTGTATTTTGGTAAACGCAGCTGTCTCATAAAAATTCTAACCTCTTATAGGGTACCTCTAATCAAAAGCGATGTTTTATATAAAGACAGAATTTTCAGATTAGATTTTTGATAAAGGGGCTGAATTTACAAATATTCTTTTCCACACGTACAAGATATTTCATAAATATTAGAAGTCAAATTAGCGCAATATAAGTAAGAAATACAACTCGACATGAAATTATCTCTCAGCTATGATTTGAATTTTTTATATACTCGACATCATTCATGTACATATTCGTATCGTCGTTTGTGCTTTATTGGTTAGGTCTGATGTTTAATTATTTCGTCAGTTAAATGAATTTTCTAGAAACATTTTCAAACAAATAGATTCTCGTATAAGCAGTTATATGTCACGAATATTCACAGTCGAGAAAAATAAAAAAGAAAGAAAAAATCAACATATTGTAAGACCAAAAAAAAATTGCAGTGCAAAATTGCCGTATAATATGAAAATTGTATACATATATTGTGTACACATATAACATTTTTAATATTAGTATATCTCAAAAGAATAAAGTCATAATAATAGAAACGATAAAATGTGAGCTAATGGCCAAAAGTTGAGATTAATAATAATCGAATTACTGATAGATATATTTCCCATAAATGTCCCTTAAATTTTCCACCGCATCATGTGTTGTACTTTCCGCATCCACGATGAATCAAGTATCCCAATATTAGTACATATTTCGAAAAACATCGTACTTTGAGAAACTGCTACGGGCGAACGATTGAAAGATAAAATTAGTAATAAACGAGTGACTTACCCATCAATTTGCCGACATTGTCGCACGTCGGTTGCTGCATCGTCGCGACCATTTGCTTATTGTTGTATTTATCACTTATCGTTCATGTGTTAAGCGCTCATTCGATGCTCGTTTGTTACATTGATGTACACCGACCAAAGAAACACACGGTTGAGCATGACTCTGCGGACTAATCGAAGTGACATACGACGATCGCTCGTCAGTTTCAATCAATTCCCGATAATGGCGTCACTAAGCCTAAATGACACCGTCGTTGCGTATCGGTGTGAAGTTGCATTCGTAACTCAAATTTTTCGTACGCTTAGCGTCATAGGTCGAGCAAATTTCTCTCAGAGGCGTTGCGTTACACTTTCTGTACCTGGACTGAAATAAGTACATATTTGAAATTTGACGGGAGGAAGCAAGAAAGATGATAATTATACGAGGAAATATACAGAAAAGTGCAACCGAAAGAAACAGATTTATATACGCTTCGACATCTGTATCTCGACCGATATTTTGTATAGATAAGGTTAAAGAAACGGCATACCACCAAAACTTGAGAATGATGAACGATACGTGAATTAGTTACTAACCTATTCGTTGCGAGTGTCACCGTCTGCTCGTCTTGCTGTGTTATCTCAGCCAACCATTCATTGTTACATTTATTCACATATCACTTAAACATGCACATGCATGCTCACTCATTGCAAGGATCAGAAAAAAATGACTGATGATTTCGCGGATCGATCGATTGATCGATACGATATACGACAATCGATCGTCCGTGTTACATATTTTCTATACTTAAGACGAGATAAGCATATATTTTGTTGTCCGGTGGGAGGGAGAAGGAGGGGGAGAAAGGAAGATGGTGCAAGGAAGTACATAAAATGAGACTGAGAGAGATAGATATACATACTTAGATAGAGATATGTGTGCTTATGTATGCCTCAATATTAATATCTCCGTTGTTATTTCAAAGAAAATTAGGTCATAATTAGACAAACAGCAACTGTCACGAACGCACAATCGAAAGTTGAAATTGATGAGTGAATTACTTACCGACCCATTTGCCGCTAACGACGCTGTCGTCTCTTCGACCGTTGCATCTCTCCGGATGGTCAATTGTCGTCACACTTATTCGCGGATCGCGGACGTTCGCTCATTATACGGGTACGAAATCGATCGGAGAAACGTGGCTAATCACAATTCCGCGGGTTAATTCGCGGGAACACGGCGAACGCTCGTCACGTCGAGCCACTTCCCGATAACGGCGTTGCCAACTGATCTTCAGGACGAAGTTGCAATGCATCATTGGAGTTTATATTAAACTCGAGAAAGCAACTATTTTTATTTCGTTGTAAAATTTCAATACAAAATATCGAATTTTTGGCACTGTATATTTACGATATTAATTTTCGCACTTGAAAATACTAGTAAGATGCAATTGTTAACATATAATTAATTACATTACCGGGATACTACTTGTCTCGCGTATTCCTACTCTCCTCCTTTCCGACATCAAGATGTCGTTTGTTTCAACGTTCCGAGCATCGGTCGTCCTTAATATCGATCATGAGTCGAAGAAATACTCATAAATCAAACAGCTGAGGTACACAATTTTATTCTTTATTTAATTTTAAGTAAATAATGTTCTAATTTGACACTTACAACAGTCGGAAAACGCGACACGCAATGTAACATTTCTGCGCAAGGGTTCACTTCATAACCGCCATTAAAATCGCGGAAAATTGCATACGTTATCCGAGATATCGCGTACAAAAAAAAACCACGATGAGAACTATTTCTTTCGAATATGTCGTTCGTGAGTCCCATATTCTAAAATTTCACTTTCGTTTCTCACGCTAAATGCGCTTGAATATGTATCGCGGATCGCAAAGTCTTAGAAAATGCAACGTAAGAGATAACTGCTTTATCATTGATAAACAAGCTTTTACGTAAACACAAAACCTGTTTGGTCCAGTGACATTAAAGGTGTGGACGAACGCTTGTCGAACTCACCTGTCCGGTCCGACCGAACGTTCCGACGTAAAAAGGTCGACGTATAAAAAAAATACATATATATGTGTGTTTACAGATTCATTAGGAAACAGCGGCGCGCAGTTACGCGATTCTCCGTTGTTCGCGAAAGACTTGGCGAATTCCTTGCAGAAGAATGGACTATCGTTCACCTCAACGCAAATGCGAAAGAGAATCGGATCCAAACTCTCCGTCGTTCGATTAAATTAGAGGCATACAGGTTAGATGATTTTTTTTACATTGTTTGCAGAAAAATATCGGAAATGGATAAGACGATGTCATCGAATATTTATATAAAAGTCAAGGACAAGGAGTGGATAGAACTTTAAAGAGTACAGTTTTCAGACATCACAGATGTTATATAGATAAAGTTACAGATAAAGAAGAAACAGAATTGTTTTGATTACATTGTTATAATTAAATATTTGTAGGGATCATTATACGCATATAAGTTGTTAAAATGTGAGGAAAGCTTTGTTCTCCCCGTCTCATTTCTTGAAAAAAAAAATAAATAAGAAAAAATCATGGGGATCGTTTATTCGGAGAGATAAATAAGAGCAATGCGCTGCCGATAGTTGTATATGATAGTTTTTATTTGACAATCGTTCGTTACGCGATACAAGTAGAAATCATTCTTGCCCGTCGAAATCAGTGTAACTCGTCACAAGTCATCACATACAGAAACGCTTGAAATCACACGGTATATAGGGCACCAACCGCCCTATAAACCGATTACAAGAAATATACACTATATTACAGCGTCATGTTAATCGGAAATACGGAGCATCGGTGTGAACGTTACATCGAACAATGCTCGACCGATTGTGTAGGAAAATACAACTATTTCGTGTAATGACGACGTAAAATCGTTAATGAGCCACGAGAGTGCGAGGACGATCGAGCCTCCGTCCAGTTTCACGGTACGATCGAAGGAAGCGACTTATTAAATTCGGTTACTCGTGAGGACGTTCGAAAGTTCTCTCGTTCGTGTCACACGGTAGCCATTTGATCGCGCTCGTTTATTCCTTACATTAAGGTCAACAGAGTTCAATTACCTTCGCCAATGCCGCAGGTTTCAGTTGGATTTGAGGCTCGATTACGCTCACTCTGATTTATATGATGCACAAGACCACGGCGGATAAAGGTATCAGAGAGACGTTGGGCGTAATTTTGTTTTCCACACTGTGAAAGTTTTGCATTCGGTTGCCTCAAAATTCGTCGCAAAAGATAACAAATACGTATACACATTACATAAAGTAATATCTACCGGGACAATCGCGCTTGCTTTCGGTAACAGATATTTTTTTCTTTAAAAAAAAAAGGTGTTATCGATCCTCGTTCTTTCTTCGAAAAAATTTTCAAATCAAATTAAGGACAGATTATATTATTAATTAGTTAAATTTACCTCTCTAGTATTTGTCTGATTAATCAATCCTCTACTTTTATGATAATTCCTAAGTACATAAATTCGCTACTCGATTCATCATTAAATACGACAGTAGATAGATGATTCGGGAAAACAAATTCTGTGATAATATACATTGGACTATATTTATGCGTATGTATTGTGATGTATCATAAATAATATATTAAAATTCTCGGGCTTGTATATAAGTGGAACGCAACAGAACTTGGAAAGTTAAATAATAACGAAGGTGGCATCATCTGGTAAAATTGTTTTAAGAAAAAAGAAAATCCAGACTGCGTAGAACTGTTTGTGCTTATTATCACAGAATTATCAATTACCCAAACGGTTTATACATCGCGAACAAGTAGTTTCTTCGTCAGATCATAGCGCTTTATTGATAATTTCGGTATACGTCATAAATTAGAAAAAAATGTTTTAGTAGCAAAATCATTTCGAAAAATACGAGTCGCAGAAAAATAGCTGCGACTCGATAGTGAATATTTGTGTAAAGATTTAGCTTCAATTTTTTTTCTTTAAATCGTCATACTAATGAAGGGTGAGAAAAATCATCGTACCATTTTCTTCTTCTCTCTTTTTTTTTTTTTTTAACGTGCCATTGATATCCACTCCGTCATTTATACAAGATGACTGTGTGTCGTGCTGGCATTATTTACAGCAAAGGAAGAGTTTCGAGTGTGATAGAACCTCTCGACAAGATATGTTCAATTATTATCGCCAATTTGTATGACGAGTTCTTAAATATGTTCTTTAGAACATTCATTTTCAAAAACCTACTGGTGCGTAGGTGAATTTTCATTCCGCGGTATTAAAAAAATATGTTCAGAGACCGCAAATATAATGCATCGAATAGTTTTCTTTACGATTCTAACGCTTAAATCTCGTTCTTCGCTATTTCTTCTTGAATTACTTCACGAGAATGTGCTAACATCTTAATTCAAGAATATCGATAAGTCGCGAAGCAATTGTCGCGATCATAAGGGAGATCGTTGCTAAAATAATACTTAGTAGTTTCCTTTGCGGAAACATTACTTTGCAACGGTATCGTTTGCAAAATTAACATTAATTAAATATATCTTTTTGTAGAGTTTCGAACACATAAATTTGAAATCTCTCCTAGAACGAAAAGTCTCAGCGCGAGAGGAAAACTTAATCACCGAAGTTCCTCATTTCGTTATACTTTTATCTTGCAACTTATTTCTGGAAGTTACCGCTACATTTCTAGAAAACTTTCTTACGTACTATTAATTTCTACTTATATATAAGAGACATTCAGTATATAACTCTTTTTAACGTGTGACTCGTGTCCTCGATATCCATTAACTCACATAAAACGCATCAGAAATTGCGCATCTGAATTCATTTGCAGATTATCAGGATATCACAAAGTTTTACTTTTTCTTTGGGAAGAAAATAACGCTTGATTGCATTAATAAATTGCAGAATTTATTTGAATGTCAAGAATTTAGGAGAAACAAAGAGGGAGAGAGAGATAATTTTATAATAATAAATCATAATAAAATATTTGTGAAGTGAACTTCAGATTCACTCAGAGATCCATAAGCGAGAGAAGGTACGTAATCTCTGATGCGGTTATACATGTATTCCGAGAATGCTAAAGTAAATTCTAACGATCCACCAGAACAAACGTTCCATCGCAATCAATCCAACTATATTGGCGTTTCCTAATTTTCATATTCGCTTATGAGAATGAGACATTATGCAGAAAAAATTGTCAGTTATTGCTACGAACATTTTTAGAGAGCAGTGGTCGTAAGGTGATTGCTTGACAAAGCGTGAGATACAAGTGATTCATTAAAGAGACTTTTCGAGATCGTTATTAACATACATAACGCACGCATCTCCATATGAAAACCCGTAAAAGTCCACGATATATCTTTAGTGCGTCACTTGGCACTGATTAGCGTCCGACAACGGTCTTCTCGGTAAATCAAACGCGATTGCCGAGTACATTCGTTTTTATCGTGGTGTGACGTAGCGGTACAAAACGACTCGAAGTATAATACAGTAGGAACCGTCCAGATATTACGCTCGCATTATTACAACCATTATCCTTTCAATAACAATCACGAAGACCTCTAAAGAGCTACGATCTTCGTGCTATCGGCTATTTACGACAAACAACAGATCTGCTGAGAAACTAGCGATATAATGTATCGACGGTTTGTTCTTTTCACGATAACGATGTACAAGGAACCTTAACAAAAACTCCTCATATCAAAATACGCTACACCAGTTAATGTTCGTGTGTAAAAATGTGCAAAAATGATACTGTTGAACTGCGAGTGCTATCTAAAGTCACACTGCGACTATCGGCGTCCATCCATAAAGAAATTAACGGGAGTTTCAGTCGTAAGATCTGATAGAAACTCTCATCTTAACAATTCTTACAAATCTGCATGAGAAATTTAGATATCGATCTTATCTCGAACGCACCCGTCCGAACAATCACGCAATATCATATTATCGCGTAGTAAGATTGCGGCTACTTTGAATTGCCGATATTTTTCGGTGGTTGCTGTATTACTGAACTATCGTAATGCTACATGCAAACATAGGAGCGATTATTTTCCTATGTTTGCAGTACGTTAACGCCGAACGGAGCGGTGAACATTAGCGTTAACATCTCGAGATTCTATACAGCGTGTTAATCGACCTCTTACAAGACGAGTGAGTAACTTATGTTAACGTGTCTACCGTAAGAATTGCCAACAAGACGCAACTGTACAGAATGTCACTCAACACGTTCATTTTATGAACGTGCAATTCCCTCAAATCCATTTCGCGAAGTCCATCTGACGTAAATGCATTCTACAGTCTATAATAATTCATATGTCAACCTATAATATAAAGTAAAAGAGTAAAGCGCAGATAAAAGACATTGCGACTAGAATTCATACATTCGACTAGAATTCTCACTTTGCAAAAGTTCCTATAAAAGAAGGTTTAAAAGTTCTTTATACAAGTAATCTCACGTATCGTAGAAGTAATAATATTCCATTTACGACAACGTTAAAAATGCCGTTCGTACGTAGGATAGTTGCTTAACTATCATGTTCACTACATCATAATCATATACTCATCTATTACTAATCGATATTAAAAGGCCGTTACGTATTTCACCGTTTGGAAAGTAACCAGTGCCGCACTCTGGAAGCGCTAGAGATTCCCCTACTTATTTTTCATTTTCAGATCAAATCCCAATACATTCGGGAGAATACTTGTCGGGCGTTGTGTGATCGATAGCGCGAGAGAGTGGAGATAAAAGTCAAAATTAAAAATATGCCGAGAGTATTCGGCAGAAGCAAATCAAGATGATAATTTTCGATAATAAATGCAATTTTGTAAATATCACAAAAAGGAAGCAATCATAAAATTGCATAATGTCGCATGTTGTGCCAAATTTTTACCTCTCGAGAATCGGGATTTGTAGCACTTCCATATAGAGGCAATAGGCACTTCAGTATGGCGATGAAAATAATGAATTATCATAAAGGGTTAATCTGCCTTTGTGGCGGGTAAACCATGACCTACGACCAGTTGCTCCTTCGGAAAGTCCAGAACCACGGTGACGTGAAACCCCATGTTCGCGAAAGCTATCACATATTCGCACAGCGAAAACCAACTAAATGCTGTTCGAAATTGTAACAAATGTTATTATTTTTCTCTACGTATCTTGTTTGTACATAATTACATTTCTTTCCCTTACCCAAGTCGTGACATAGCAGTCGATGTTTCAAGAAGAAGATAATAAGACCGATTGTACTGACAAGACTCATCATAAAGAGCGCCTGTTTGTACTGAAGACTTTGTGCATTTGGAGTTATTAGGCGACCCAATCTTACAGCGGTCAGCATATACATGAGCGAACTAATCATGAACACTATGAAAATTTTTTCGTGCACCGCTGAAAAAGATTTCGCATCCTTTAACCAACACGTCGCTTTTGCGAACATTTTGTATATACTTGAGCACAATACGTAAATAACATGAACGACAGATTTGTGTAAAATTGCGGAATCACTTACAGTAATTCTCCCTGTTAGAAACATATGTTACACCACACAAAGCTGCCACCTCGGCAATGTTTAGCCAGTAACATAAATTTAGGAGTCTACTCCCCATAATTTTTAGAGGCACATCTTCAATGCTTTTAAGTATGTTGTAATAATAAGAGTGATAAACACTGGCTATCACCAGTCTAGGTCCAATATGTAACGCTATGCTAACACGCCATAGATATCTCTGAGGGGACACACCAGTAATAGCTGAGATCGATGGAAGGATATTGTAGACCTGCAATAAATGCATATATATGAGTATCATTATTACGATCATAGTTTACTCATTATTTACACAGAATATAACAGCTCTACTTACCCTACAATGAGTTTCATGAATATCATCTTGTTGGAATATATAAGCTGTGACAAAACAGAACAATAGCGATACCAGTGGTAAGCCAACTGTTGCCAAACACAGTTTCCTAAATGATAGTGCGAGATATACGGAACTTTTGTTACTTCCCACATTATTCAGTTCCATGTTAGCTGCACTGTCTAACATTCTGGCATTTGTGCGCAAAGCAACAACATGTGACTCAGGGCTGAGCTGAGTCAGACTCTTGTGCGATGTAGATACATCATATTCTTCTTTAGAATCACTTGATCATCTTTGGTATTACTCTATGTGCCATAATAATCCTGATACAAAGAAATCACAGATTAGTATTCACTCATGCTTCCAAACAATATCTTTAAATTGCTTAATGAAATTACATTGACAAGCTCTTTTCTTTAGGAATCAATATATGTTACAAGAATATACGATCTAATTATAAGAGAGATGATATATTCTACAAAGTAAAACATCCTTGATAGAAATAAATTCATGCAACAGCATTGATAATCAAGCACCGCCTCTTTCTTGTCACTTTATAAATTGCCTGATGAAAATATCAATCACATGAATATATACAAAATCGCAGTAAATCGTAACACAAGCGTGTTTTTTCCAAACTATCTATCGATACAGCAAACGTTTAGAGTATAGAATTAAATTATATAATATGTAGCGTTATATATATATACATTTTTGTGTGTGTGTGTGTGTGCATGCGCGCGCGTGCTTTTTTACGAATGTGCGAATTAATTCCTACCACATATACTACATGTTAATTATTCAATGGTCATTGCATTCGTATTGTATTATGACAATAGGTTACCGATTATTTTCACGATTGATTTTGCAAATAACCTACTTCCTCTATAAATAGCGAGCAAAAGGGCGAAATCGCGACTGCGGTTGTGACTGCTCTTGAGATTTTACCGTGGACGATTTCCCATATGTCCACTGTTCCAAATGTTCGCGTTATCGGAGCGTCTCTCGATGGGTCGCGATGAGGAAATGTCAACGTGCGCAACTGTCAAAAGTAACAACGATTAGAGGAATGCGCAATGCCGAGGCACTGCAGGCTGACGCCCGCTGATGAATCGCGATCGCGATGAATCACAATGCCGGACAAGGAACGACAGAAATTACCGTCGAGTCATATCGACGAAACAAAAGATCATACAATTTACCTCTTCTTTCGCGTTACAATAATCGTCTCGTCCGCCACAAACGTTCCGACTCCTCTCTTTGATGTACACAACGTCGTGTATATACACCGACCGCGCTCCCCACACTGACACTTTTCTCCCGCCTCTCCCGTTTGATGCTTTTAGCGGAACTTTTGAACGCATCAAGTACGAGAGCAAACTTCTCTTGTGTTAATAATTTAAAATACATGAACTTATGTGGAAATGCCGTTTGATTTATTACCATTAGTTGAAATGGTTTCAATGATGTATAAGGAAAATATCGGGTTACAATATATATGTATAATACATATAATTTGATCATTTCTGCATGGTACATAATTCCAATATTTATTTACTATGAATTTGATATACACGTTCTTTTTGACGATCTTCTTCCATTTCATATTCGATCTCCACTTTTGGTTGCTTTTTCTTCTGTACTTTTCCTTTCTTGACTTTCGGCATTTTTGCGTTTTTACTTGTAGATGGTATCAAGTCCTATATAATGAGATATTGACGATTTATATTGGAATATAGAATAGCAATTCTATCTCTCGAACTAATTAATTCTTACCTCAATATCGCTTGCTTCAGATTCGAAGCTATCCGATAATTCAATTTCTTCCTTTCGTCCAGAGTCGCTATCTTCATCCTAAGCAACAGATAATAATCTATCAAAATCTCTGTAAATGAGTTATTCTTTGTTGAACAATTTTCTTTTTCACTTACCATAGAGACCTCTTCAATATCAAAATCATCGTCATCTTCATCATCACTATCAGCTTCAACATACCGAGGAGCATTTTGTTCAGTTTCCTGTTCATCTGCTTCCAATTCTATTTCTACTTCTTTTTCAATTTCTTTCTCTCGCTCTTCTTCCTGCTCACTTTCTGCCTCGCTTTCACCATCAATTTCAACAGACTCTACAGCTTTGTCAAATACTCTTTGTGGGAAGTTGTATATATCATTATACTGAAATGCATTAAAATGATTATACCTTGAAAGTATAAGTACAAATATTACGATTACATATACGATAGATATGTTATTACCGTTCCTTGCTTTAATCTTTCCATGAGTCGCTTTTCAATTGAAGTTTCCAGTCTAGCAGCAATTAGAGCCTTTTCTTCCCTACGTCTCTCTCTTCTCTCGATCTTTCTCTGAAGAGGTACAATTTTCTTCTGCCGCCTTAATCTAAGCTTTCTCATACGGATAAGATATTGTGTAATTTTGACAAATCTCTGCTTACATTTTGCTTTTATAAAACTAGGCCAATAGAGCAGATTTTCGTTAATTTGTTGTATTGCTTTTTCAAAGTTCCTGGATAGCTTGACTTTTTCCCACATATTTTTCGGTGTATGTATTCTGACAAAGAAGTTATTGCATTATGTATAAAAATATTTTTTACATATTAGGACAAGAATTACTTTGTAGTTACCTTTCTGCTGTTCTCATATACAGATAAATGATACCATTCTCCTCTCTAATTGTAGCATATTGACTGTTTGCAAGAGGGCATGCTGCTCTACTGCATAATCCTGTAAGATTGTATTCATTCCTACAAAACCTCTGGGTTTTTGTACTGAAAAGCAGACATTACAACATTATAGCAATGAACTTATAGTCAAGGTTATTTTATAATCCAATTATTACTTAGGAATTCCTGAGAAATGAGAACTTACTTTACTTTAAAGGAACAAAATGATTTATTAATAACACTCCACACAACCTGCGGAATTAGGTTAAGATTAAGAGATTATCGTTAATGCTTAAAATATTATGAATTTTATCTTGATTTTAAGCTTACGTCGTCGTGTTGCATTTTGTTTCACTCTGTAGTTCTTTTATAAAAAAGTTATTATCTCACGATATTGTGAACGATTCCTCCTCTGTGTACCATACAGGTACAAAGCACGTGTTCTACGATGTGTAATCAAACATTTATATACGGGCCATTTGTTTTAACAGAACGATCCAGAGATGGCAGCAGTGGTACAATTTCGAACCGCAATATTCGTCGGTAACACAGGAAGTTCGAATCACGACATTTGGCCCTCCATTTTCTCATCGTGAGTTTTCGGTTCCGGTATCGCAGTTTGATTCTCCGAAAAATCTAGACTGAAGATAGATGTTCTATGTTTGTAAGTATAATATATATCGATTAATTCACTTATTCTTGAAGTAAATAAAAAGATTCCATAGATAGGTGTTACGTGTTAACGTGCTTAGAATTGCTTTCCTCAACGAAAAGTTCTCGACAAAGAAAGGAGAGAGAGAGAGGATGAGAGATAAAGAGAGATATAATTAGGGAGAACATATTTTATATTAAAAACAAAAGCGCGTACATTACTTTGCGAATCGAATGAATAACGAAACGTTGACGAGTTTTGGTATAGATCAACTTTAACTGAAAAGATTATATTTGAGTCTTATTTGTGTCTATGTATCGAACATAAAAAAGTTGTTAATAACATAACCTCTCTTGGCATAATATTACAGAAGTGAAAAAGAAATTACTCTTAAAAAAACAGTAGAATATGTGTAAACAGCTACTAGGAATAACTGTTAAGTACAATTCCGAGAATAATGTCGGAAGGGTTGGTTGTCGTACAAGCAATGTGCATCCTTTTAAGAACTAATCACTGGATAATAGAGGAATTTATATTCTTGCAGAACGTCACGTTGTCACCGCTTCGATACTTCCGTGACTCCCCAACCACAGCTGAGTCAAGTTTCTTAATTAAGAAACCGTCTATCTCTCTCCGCTGCCTCTTCGTCGACTGTATCGGTCTCGCGAATTTACCATGACGACGAAGGACGTGAAAGAAGATTTCGTTCTCGTTCTCGGTAAGGTAAGGATAGAACTAAATAAGCACCCTATCGATCTTGAGTAAACCTGCATTTATCGCTGCTGTATGTTTCTTCTGAACAATTCTTATAATATCAATGAATATATTTTTAATGTATTTATTTTTTGAAATCGTTGGACATGACCTTTCGATCACGAATATTAAAGAACAAAAAAAACAATTTTTTTAAATAATGAGAAGCCAAGAATTAAATTTATTAGTTCTATTAAAATATCAATATTAGTCGGATTAATTAATTTAATTATTGCTACGAATTAAATTTTTTAATAATTAAAAATCATTGATTAAATATGAATTTCGAGAAGTAAAAATTATTTGATATCGACGTGAATATATTGCAACATCTTATGCCTCGATTAATTTTAACGATCGATGACATTTCGCGAAGTTATTGTCGTATAAAAATCTATCTGTATTTTAAGTAAAATTTATCCAGCTCGAAAAACAAGCAAAAATTAAAAAGAATCTGAGAGAATTCACTTCGCGATTTTGTTGTATTTGTTTACTTTCTTTAGCTACACGTTTTTCTCTCATCGAGTTTCTCATTATAAAGTCTCGTCCGATTTAAAGATAGTTGTCGACTGAGAGATACCCGCCTCGATAGACAACTTTGATGGGTTGACGGTCGAATTTCCGATGTAACATCCACGTATACGAGACAACAGCAAAAAACAGAGGCGGTGGACACGCGCGGGGAAAGACACAAAACGCGGCGCGTATTCGCGAGCCCAGGAGCGTTTGCGCGTTCCCCATTTTCGAGAAAGAGCATAGAGAGAGAGAGAGAAAGAGAAGAGATGAGGGGAAGAGAGAAAAGAGGAAGATAGAGGGAGAGAGAGAGCGAGCGAACGCTCTCTTCCGCCTGATCGCCCACATACATTTTCGTTAAAACGCGCGTGTTCCGTCCGTTTCATTAATTTTAATGCCCGCCGAGCCCGTTCTGTTCATTTCTGCGCAACATATGAATATACCCGCACCCTCTCTCGCGCGCGCTTTCTAGCCGTGCGCGTATGCTCTCTTTATCCCTGCGAGCGACACGCGCGTTCGCCGCGCGTGTGTTGCTGTACGTACCTGTGCGTACGTGTGCGCGCGAGGCTGCGTACGCGAGCGAGCAACGAGTTCGCTCATGCGAACGCGCCCTCCTCCCTCTCTACCATCCTCTCCTCCCCGGGTTGGTTGATATTAATTAATAATCAGAAACAGATGCGGCCTCAGCTCGCGCCGCGCCGCTCTGTGCGCTTCGAAACGATAATTATTTAAGTTGCTCTCCTCTCGTTCTCTCTCCCGCCTTTTCTGTTTCTCTCTCTTTCTTTCTCTCTCTTTCCCTGTGTCGGGCGTCTCCGGCGCCTTCTCCGCCTTCTTCGTCGTCGTTCCGCGAGTGCGGCGTGCTAATTAAAGAGCATTCGCCAGCGAATTTTACGCGATTCTCCCCCTGACACGCTGCGTCCCGCACGGACCACAGCGTCGTCTCTCCGTTCTTCCCGCGGGACCGCAAGAACATCCCGGAAACCCGGTGCCACATTTTATATTCGAATTGTGCCGTTCGGAGATGAGGAGCGCGAGGTTCCGAGATTTTTTCGTCGGGTATTTGCGATAGGTTCATATTCGGAGAACCGAGTGAACATGATAAAGAAGATGTTGGTTTTTACGCGACTTGTGTATCATAAGACTCGATTGTTGCGAAAGATTTACCATCATAAATCCTCATTACTTCGACCTTTAAGATGATGTTCGTACATCACTATATGCGGGATTCCGAAAATGTGAAAGTTCTCGAATTCTCGGACACTGTCGCGATTCACACTTGCTTTCAAGACGAGAAAGTTCCGTCGAAAGAGCATAAATGGTGATTTATCAATCGCACAACGAATCGCTCCTTTCGCGTGAGTGTCCGAGAAATCAATATAGAGGCCGCCGATACGGAAAAATCCGTTGAGAATTTCTCCACGAGGCGCGCCAGAAGGAAAACCGAGGGTAAGGAGTTCCCGAGGTGGTGGACGGTAGCGGTAGAAGGCGAGTGGGACGCGCCGTTCTCCCGGATGGCGTTTAGCCAGCGACGCTCTCCCAGTGTCTGCCTTAATATCCGCCACTAACATTATTTCATAAAAGTATTACTATAAATCCAAACTCGCGTTATTTAAGCGCGGTGCGCGCGCGGGATCTCACCAGAAACCACCTCTCCCCGAGCCAGCCCAGCCAGCCAGCGAGTTCTTCTCCTCCCGGGTCCCCAACCTCTCGTCCTGCCGGCGCTGTCCCATCCCTCTGCGAAGTTCGCCTTACATTATACCGGGCGAAGGAGCGCGGAGGCAAGTTTTGCCACCCTCTTTTCCCTCCGCCACATTAGAGATATATTATGCAGATAGTGGAGGCGCCGCCGGCCGAAGCGCTGGTCGGAGACGATGGGAGCAGCGGCCGCCGGCGGTGCCGGGGGCTGCGGAAATTTAAAACTTTATTTACCCTACGCGTCGAACGACTTTTCGCCACCCCTCTCCCTGTCGCCCCTCTTTCCTCCCCCTTGGCGTCCACCCACCGGATGTATGCGCCGACCTGCACTCTCGGCGCTTATTTATTTATTCGTACGCGGACAGCCGGTGAAGATGACGGAAATCATCCGCGCGCACTTCCTCCGTGAACGATGATCGAGAGGCGAGATCTCCGCGGGTGATTATTGTTGTTTATTCGCGAAATAGCCTCGAGACGACACGAAGGTAATAATGGGGTGCGTGTTTATTCGGGAGATAAGTATCGTTTCAGGGCAAGGCGAGGCGGGAGATACTTAAGGTGGCTTCATGTAGCATATTACCTCCGGTGATACCGTATATCGCCAACGAAATCCTACCCTTTCGTATTTCACACACGCCACGCACGTTTGTTACGCGCGTAACTCGGAGATCAATTAGCGTAGATCGTCGATGCGAGTCGATAAGGTCAGCAATGCAAATTTAGACAGCTGCGAGCCGAACTGACACGCAATGGTGTACTCGGAACGTTCGTGATGATTCGTTGACAATTCGCGTCCGTCGTACTGTCGGACTCTCGGTCATTCGTCAATCGGGCCACCGCGATTCTTCACGGTTTTCGCATTCGGACCGGGTTATTACGTCGACTCTTCGATCCACGCGCGAAGGCGCGAGGATTCGATTTACGAGAGTCAGGACGGCGAATTCGGTAAAAATCCGAGGGAACCGTTTCCGGTTCCGGCTCTTTGAACTTACTCGTTCGGGACCGGTACTTACACCCTTCGTCGAAGGCGACACTTCGACGTGATTGCGAGCGACGGAGGGTGAAAAAATGGAGGGGGGAAAAAAAGAAAAACTCGGCCGTCTTTTACACTCTCGTCTTCTCTTGAGAGAGAGAAGACGGCGGCTGAGAATGAGCGTGACGACGGCGACGGTGACGACGGCGTCAGGGAAGACGAGGACGGCGTTGGCGGAGAGAACGAAGGCGTAAACCGACGGTCGGCTGATTAGTCGCAAGACTCGCCCGTTTTCACGATTTTCCCGATTCTGTCGAGCGCCGCCGATTCACGACAGAAGGAAGATCCTTCGGCGTCGATGAAGAGGGATCGACGGGGATGGGTTTTCCTCCACCCTCGGTAACGCTCATTCCGCGCTGCTCTTTCTCTCTTAAGTTGAAAAAAGAAACTGATTCAGGACTAGTGAGATAAAAATAAGAGCGACGCGAAACAAAAAGCGAGCCGATCCGTTTAAATCGCGTTAAATCGGAGAGGAACAAAATCGGTGTAATTTCCTCCGGATTTCGAGATGCTGAAGACACATGAAAATTATCCCCGCGAAAAATAAATCTTTGATTAAAAACTTATAGGACCGTGCAGGATAACTGAAGTCTTCAAATGAATAGGTGATAACAATAAAATTATTAGAAGTCAAAAAATCTTTTATCTTCCCGCTTCTCGAAATTATTCATGATAGCGAGACATTTTGTGGAATATAAGGTGCGAATATAAGGTATACTTTTGGCGACGTGGTATTCTTCAAAAATGCACAATTTCAGGCCCTCCGGTACTGGTCGACGCTCATTAATTTTTCGCGCTCGTCCTGAGCTCATCCCGCACACGC